CAGCGCGCAGTATTTACTCAGTATCTACTCGGTGGAGTTCGTGTGGCAGCTAGTACACGAGCTGAGTGCGTTTGTTGGTGACGCATTCAACTCAATCTTGCCTTCTGGGAGGCAGAACTCAAAAATCGCTAATTGCAATTGCAATCATTTCATATTTGGACAGTAAGTTAATTAAAGTATGTTCTTTCTAATTATGTGTTTTTTTTTGTCTTAGGTAAAAAAAATCCCTCTAGAAAACAAGTGGCCTCCGAATAATACCAAAGTAACGGTACGGTATTTCCTGAAGCATAAAATGGAATTTCAAGCAGAGCATGATAAATTCAATAGAAATCTTGGTTTAAGATATCTCCTAATGAGATTTTTGGAATATATCTGTCTGGTATGAACTTCTCTGGGCAATACCCTTGACTCAAGAGGTACGTTACCGGTTGGGTCGAGTCTAGTTCTGTATCCTTTCTCAAATTCTTCTAAATAGAAAAACAGGTGCGCGCTAGTCCACACAAAGTACATTTTATGATTTTAGTCTGTTGTACTCTGTATCAACGATGTACCTATATTTTGTTTTATGTTTTTGGTTGAATGTATTATTATTTTCACCACTATAAGGTTTTAAGAGAAATTATAACCGAACAGTACATTTTCATGATTTTTGTTTAGGCCATACACACGTGAATTACAATTAATTGATGAATTTGTTAGGTAACTTATTTTGTAATTCATTGTCATAATGCTGAAAAACAAAATAAGTATGGGTATTATACCAGTTATACACCTACAAAAAATCCTAAGAAACTAATAACTTTTTTTCAAAATTATTAAAGTTTCATGTTTTTGTCTTCAATAAAAACATGCGAAAACATAAAAAATATTGTTATTTTAATTCTAGAATGACCCTAAATCGTTAATTTGTAGTGAGTTTATCTTACAAACGTTTTTTTAAACAATAACCGTTGATTAAAAGGAAAAATTGTCTTGCGTGGATGCGCGTGTACTTTATTTCTATGGCAGATCTTTTTAGGAAAACAATTCGAAAATTAATGAACTCACAAAAACCAATGTCTAGTTTACTTAACAGTAAACTAGATAACACAAGTCCAGGTAAACTGAAAAAAGTGATGCATTTTATAACACCCAGACAACAGCGGCTTTTGCCAACAAAGATGGCGGGTTGTCGTGTACGCCCCATGTTAACTCTCGTCAACCCGCCACCTCGCATGTAAGCGACAACGTGCCACCACGTCAACCCGCCATCACTATTTTATGAGGTGGTGGGTTGTCGTGTACGCTCAATGTTCGGTGTCGTCAACCCGCCATCAAGTCAACCCGCCATCTCGCACGTAGACGTCAACCAGCCACCACGTCAACCCGCCACCACACGTTTTTGGCTTGGTTTACAATACCTAGAGGTGGCTGGTTGACGTGTATGAACATCAACGTGCCACCACGACAACCCGCCACCACACATTTTTCCGAGGTGGCGGGTTGTCGTGCACGCTAGAGTCAACGTGCCACCCCGACAACGAGCCACCACGTCAACCCGCCACCTCAAACTTCTTCTTCTTTTTGATGGCGGGTTGACTTGATGGCGGGTTGACGTGGTGGCGCCTTGGCGCGTTCCCTTCCATAAGGGTGAGAAATATCGTCAGTGATGATAAGTGATCAGTGTTTCGTGTTGGTGCAGTTTGAGTGCACTGGGATCAAGTTAATGTTTCACTCTTATTTAAGGGTAGATTTGACAACTTGTATGCACCCTTTTATATTTTACATAGTATGGACAGCTATAATCATAATAAATTTAAATCCCACTGGAACTTAAATAATATAAGCCAAATTTAGTTGTAAACCCTTTATATTGATTTTACAATCGAAATAAACTATACCGAGCCATGGCTCAGTGTGGTCCCCCGGTAAGTGTTCGAAGTGGCACTTTTTGCTGCACATGAGAGAAAAATGCTTAGCATGAGCCAGACGTATTATCCATATAACAGCTACAAACGGTTCCCACACTCTGCATATCCAGCATTTACTACTTCCTTCACCACTCCCTACGTCGTGAACCTGTTTCCTTCCCTTCTCATAGCATTTAAGTATTGCAGATACATTTATTCAACTGCCACAAACGACTCCCACACTCCACACTGCTCGCCTTTACTACTTACTTCACCACTTCCTACGTTTTGGACCAGTTCCTCTCCCTTCCCATAGCATTTTAGTATTTTAGATATATTAATCCATCTGCCACAGACGCTTCCCACACTCCGGTATATTGAGTAATCTTCTGTGAAATCTTTGCTTAATAGTAACAACTGATGTTTTCCTTTTGTACTGTATTTTGTAATTTGCTAGTATACTGTGGGTAGATGGCTTATTATGAACACATGTTACACGTGGAATTCCTACGGTTGAAGAGGAAATAACCAAATTTAGTGCAAAATATCTAAAGAAACTTGAAAATCACCCTAATCACCTGGCTCTAAACCTCTTGGACAACAGTACCAGTATTTACAGGCTAAAAAGGATTCATGTTTTGGATCTAAGCACACGTTTTGTTTGAACAATTTAATTTTCGGGTCTGACTTAGGGGAGGTACAAATGAGGCATTTAGTTCAAAATTCCTCCGTGAACAGCGCTGTAGTAGAGAGCACTTTGGCAATGAAGGTTTACTAATCGCAAAAATAGTTCTGTTCATAAAATAAAATTATAAATGCCTAAAATTCAATTTTATTAATTCTTAATTACAAAATTTAACTATCATAACCTAACCGAACTAACCAAACTTGCTGATAAAGAAATAATATAACAAAAGTTTATAGTAATCAGAAAAATAATTCTGTTTATAAAATAAAACTAGAAATTGCTCAGTTAAAATTTTATAATGACTTAATAATAAAATTAAACTGTAATAACCAAACCAAACCAACCAAACTTGCTGAAAATAAAAAATCTTGGACAAAAAGTGAATGCCACCGGCGGGATTCGAACCCGGGATCTGCAGTATATCAGCCCGGCACGCTAACCATTAGATCACCGAAGCCGATGGTTATCGACCGTTTTGTTACGGTAATGGCGTTCCCTCAGCTAATAAGAAGCCCTCAGCTGTCATCGTAGCCTCTTCTATACCTCCCCTGAGTAAATACCTTAATTTTCCCTTGTTTATTTACATATTTATTTTTTCATTGAAATATTTTAAGTTATCTCTGTCAATGGACAATTGTGGAAAATTGTGAAAAAATAATGTTACACGTTATAACTTACAAGTCTTTTGTTTACTTTTTCCTTGTTATCTAATTCAACCAACATGGTTACTTAGCAACCCATAAGACCAATGTTAAAAAATGTGACTTTCAGTTTTATTTTTCTACGTAATTAGATTTTTGTTGGCAGCTGTAACTGTATTACCAATACTGGTAAGTACACTGTAAGCACGACATTTAAGTGTTACTAGCTGTAACCCGCGGGCTTTGCCCCGTTTAACTTCTTAATCTTCAAGATGATCTCGTTCGCATGGCTCAATCACGTCCTGGTTGAAGTTCGTTCGCTCCGCTCACTCACCTTTAGGTTGGAGCTCGTTCGCTGCGCTCACTTGCCTTCAGGTTAGCTCGTTCACTACGCTAACTCGCCTCCAGGGGCCCATTTCATAATAAACTACAAGTTACAAGTTACAACTTGTAACTTGTTATTTCCATTAGATTTGCATTGGGCGATCAGCTGATTTACTAATAATATTAGTTTGTACTTTATTATGTAATGGGCCCCAGGTTGAAGTTCGTTCGCTATGCTCACTCACCTTTTGGTTGCAAATTAGCTGTTGTCATAAATGTAAAAGAAATAATAGTGCTGCACCCTGTTGGTAATCCTTGTAACTTTAATGCTATTGAACACATTGAACATCAGAGAACAGAACCAACTTGTTTAATTGAAACAGCTGTTAAGACTCATTAATTCCATTTCTCATAAGGTTAACATGGGAAACTCCAGAGCCACTGGGGCGGAGTGGCTCACGAAATTGATGGTGTATAAACCTATTCCATGAAATTCTACACGTATGTACCAAGTTTCGTGGCAATCGGTTCAGCGGTGTCTGAGTTTATCACTGCCAAATCTATTATATTATTAAAGTGATACAATGTAATTTTATGTAAACGGTTAAGGCCATTTACCAAATAAAAATATAGGCATATGGCACATCAAAATGAAGCTTGGAATATGTAGATTTGCCGAAAAGTATTAATATGGATGAATTTCCTAAAGGCCCTGCCCCACAGGATGATTTCCAAGGGGCTTCGTCTGGCATGCTTCTAAAGTTTAGATGATTTAATTTAATTTATCTAATGAAACAGCTGGTCAGTACAATTAAAGTGGTGTTTGTTTATTTACTCGAAAACGATGTTTGTGGCGCTTTATGTAGATTGAGGAGGGTTATGTTTGGTTTTAAAGAAAGGTTGTATACGTTTTGTAAAGTATTGCCAAAGGTATTGCTCAAAGTTTCATTTTCTAATTTATATAGTAAGCTAGGCTTGACTAAAATTGAAGAATTATGGTAAAACATGTCATTCATGAAGCATCAATATGAAGCAATTGATGCTATTGCTACACTAAGGTATGTCGTCATACTCTTTTGGATCCATTAACATTAAAAGTAGGGGTTTTAAAGTAAGTAGGTTTACACTTTTAAATCAGTTTATATTTCCATACTAAATCATAGAGTTGTTGTATTTTAAAACACACATCAGCACCACTTTAATAGCTCTCTGGGTCACATTTTCTTCCCGTTGCAACGCACGGGTATAGCAGCTTGTATATATATATATATACAAACATCCTCTTTTATACTTATAGATTAAAAGATAGAAACCAAATTAGTAAACCTTCATTATAGTCAATCAGAAGCCTCCAAATGACACTGTTGGCAAAATTTATCCTGAAAAACAAATCGTGCGCTATGGCTGTGGAGTGTGGACTGAAATGAGTGTTAGTGTCGAGCGACTCGCGGTTCGTCGGCTCGACTCGGCATAAAATCAACAACGATAACAATACAACACGAAGACGAACACAACAATTAAAATTAAATAAAGCAAGAAGGTAATATTGAAGAATCTATCGTGGACGAGGGCTCGCCCGAAACCGGCTAGTAGACATTGTTTTTGCCATCACTCTTTCTATAAACCGTAATTTATTTTAATACTCAAAGTAATTGTAGATTGTAGCTTGCTTTACGCCGTGTACCTAACCTACTATCAACATGAGTAAAGCTCATCCTCCAGAACTGAAAAAGTGAGTAGGCCTAGTCCTAGGCCTAGGCCTTATGGTAACTAGGTTCTTGTCTATTTTAGGCTACCATACTAGTAGGTAGGGCCTATAATAGCTTAGATTGTTTTTTTCCTTACTGAGTTAGGGGTATATCATTATACGGATTACTAGCCTAGTAACTTACGTTTGTAAATCTTAATGACTAAGTTAAGTATACCACTCACCCTTGATCGTCTTCAGGATTCTTGGTTCCAAATTAGTTGGCATAGGCCTTAAGGGTGAAAATTTGATATCCGATTTCATTATAGGCCCTAGTAGCCTAATTAAAGGAAATATTTGTGAAACTTTGATATCCAACTCCATCATAATATCGCACAAGAGTATGTTCGATAACCTAACTTCATAAACTTAAGTTAATCCAAGATTCTAGGATCGATTAGGTTATCTATTTATTTATAACCTAGGCCCATAACAATTATTATATAAATAACAATTGATATAATAATGATCGTGTCAGATTATCAAAGTTATACCATCAAACTAAGTTATCAGTAGCCTAACTTGCTATAATAACAATATCATCGTCTTTAATTGCTAAACAAACTTCAGTGTGTGTGAGCGTATGTGTGTGTAGGGATCCCAGACGTCCTCATTTCCCCGAACACGTCCTCTTTTTTGGGTACTTAATCTAAAAAACGTCCAGGGGATTTTCAGCAAAACCTTAAAATGTCCGGGATTTAGACTAAAAAAATAAATGTAAATCATATTATTCCTGAACACATTCAGTTAAATTCCCACGAAAACAAAAAAATCCTACACCTAGAAGCCATTGTCCTCTATTTTACATGTTTAACTTAACTTAATCCCAATACCTTAAGTAGGTATGCCATTGTTTCCTTGAAAATAAGTTATCTTACCTAACTTAGCCTATCAATTTTTCAATTCATTTTTTTACAATTGCTTCTTTATGTTTCAGGTTCATGGACAAAAAGTTGTCAAGTAAGTTAAACAAACAATCCAATCTTTAAATAGACCTACTGTATTAGATCAACTGCCAAAATCTCTTGCGGCTCAATCCGTATCAATTTTAATTTATAGGCTACTTTTTTAATTTACAGGTACCGGTAAGTTACTTCGTTAAACAGAGAAATATAATTGTCATGAAAAAGGCGGAATGTGGGCAAATAAATGTAGCCTACAAGTTTACTACATAAAAATCAATATTTAGTTCTGGATGCATTATTTAAAAAATAATCATCACATATTTAAGTTACAAGAAAATACAATTAGGCCTACAATCTGAAAGACAGTAATCTTCCTCAGGCACGGAAACACCATCATCGTCTCCCGCAGTCACGAAAACCTTATCGAAGTATCCTGAATCGCAACAAGATTCTGATCATCTCCCGTGGCTGCGTAGACATCATTGTCTCCCACGATCGCAAAATAATTTTGATAATTTCCCCTGTCCATTAAGACATTGTCATCGTTTCCTGCCCAAAGGTATTGCTGGCAATGAGGGAGCCTACAAGTGGGCAAACAAAGGAGCTGAAAGTTTCATCATGAGTCCAGAGAGCCGACATGTGGTATTGCTTACAACACAGCACAGAGAGCTGTTTGCCAGTGGATGGACATAGAACATCGGAGGAGCTGAGAAAGAACTAAAGGCAACATACAGTTAGAGAGAATGCTGCAGACACCTACTGGTACGAAAGCGGCAGATGCCCTTGGGCTGAATAGGAAGACCCTTCGGAAGGTGGTTGGCTTCATCAGCAGCCAACGGGTATTTCGCGGACATCTATGCAAGATGGGAATTCAAGTCGAAAGCCTCTTTGTAGGAAATATGATGAGGAGGAGGATACAGCCTTCCACGTGATATTTATGTGCCCAGCCCTACAAGGTCTGCAGTGTATGAGATCCCTTGGCCTATCAACTGGTGATCAAAAGGAAACAGGTTGCAACAGTCAAATGGATCTAATGGTTTACTAAGTATCTGGGATTTGACGGAGAATGAGGACCTGTGAATGAGGGTGCACAATAAGCTGTTCCAGCTACAATGCAATCCATAGTCACTTGTAAGCCTGGCCCTCTGTTTGAAAAAAAAGTCGTCTCCCGCGGTGACGGCAAAATCCTGAATATTCCCCACGGTAGCGGAAACATCATAGTCTTCCACGATCGTGGCAAAATCATGAACACCTTCTGCGGTCATGTTTAAAGATTATCGCTGTTATCCTCGATTGCGGCAAAATTCCAATCATCACCCGCAGCCGTGTAGACATCATCATCGTAGAAAATAAGTCTTAAAATTGCATCCACATTCCATTAAGACCATAAAATACACAGTTTTCCACTTTTCAAGTTTGCCACCATTTTGGAAAATGGCCGCCATTTTTAAATAATTGAATTAAAATTTTTAACGAATTTTATGGACTTTTTGGAATGTGGATGCAATTTTAAGACTTAGTTGACTTATTTTCTCTTGGCATTTTCGCTATAAACCTACTTTTTTTGGAGCTACATGATGTAAAATGTACACCGGAAGTCATTTTTCCATAGGCTGTAACTCCTAAACAAGTGGGTTTATCGAAAAAATTTCAAGGAAAAAAATGTTTTTAAATTGCATGTTCTATCCGAAAACATGATAAAGTACAGGCTGTTCCATAAGAAATTTTAAAGTTAGCCACCATATTGGAAAATGGCGGCCATTTAAAAAAAATTGGAATTCATATTTTTCAATGTCATAAAAAACTAGTTGAAGTTCTCCATTGAAAGTTTTCTCTAAATCTGATAGTTTCTGAGATACCAATGGTGGCACAGTTAAGTTGTTCACCCTGTATAGGCTATATCAATAATTTTTGTGGGGGGGGGGGGATTCCTTCCCTGGATACGCCACTGCTGGTGCTACACCAATTCATTCTTTTCAATGTAATATCTTTTTCTTCATTGAGTTATTAAACTACTTTTGGTCTGAATTGTGTTAGTGCACCCGAGAAGAACTACTTTTGTTTTTGAATTGGCTTGATGTGATAGCCTACTTGGCATTGAGGCATGCGTAATTGAATGTTGGTAGTTTTAACTGACCTTGTTTTGAGAGCAGTACGGTTTAACCGCCGTTTTATAGGAATCTCGGCATTTCTGCTCCCATGCTCAGCGATGGGAACAATACGCTAAACTCTACAGGATGTTACAGGCTATAAATAAAATCCTGTCTCGTTACCGAAATGGTTGTATCTTTAATTTCAACTACAAGTTCTGTACTGTATATAACGATGGATTTGGAGATCAATTAAAGGTATTAAAATAAGAATTTTTATTGACTGTAACTTATTTTACTTAAAGTATTTGAGTATTTGTTTTGGGTTAAGTTTTTAGGGAGTTTTAACCGACCTTTTGAGTTATCCGACCTAGGTCGAGTCCCGTTAAGAGTCGGTTAAGAGGGGTTCTACTGTACCAATAATGTTTTATTGTTACATTACAGTAAAGCTGAATGCTGGTAGACATGTGGAAGGAATTCTACGTGGTTTCGATCCTTTCATGAATGTTGTACTGGATGAAACAATAGAAATAAAGAAAGATAACACACAAAATAACATAGGCATGGTGGTGAGTAAAATGCATTAAATAAATTACATATGGTATTGAAAGTTTTAATATAAACCTCTCACTCAGTTTGAATCAACTCACTCATTTATAAAGGATATGGTATTGAAAGTTTTAATATAAACCTCTCACTCAGTTTGAATCAACTCACTCATTTATAAAGGTAGCATAGTAAGAGTAATATTAGAAATCTGTAAACCTCGTTAGAAAAAATATGGTTTGTTTAGAACTTTTGTCATATTTTCAGGAGGTACATATTTTATCAGACACAGGGTTAAGAGTTCCTATATTCAATACCGGTATACAGTATCTATATATCCTATATCTATAGATTTGGCTTAGTTCACCAACATTTTAAAATTTGTATTAATCATTTGTGACACACTACTTCTGACTTGAAGGTGGCAGTGAAACTAGTATTTGTGATAAACTAATGAAGGGAATGGCAAGAAGGTGATTTCTTAGTTTTCTAAAAAGTAGAACACTCTCCGTAGATTGAAACAAAGCACACCAATGGAGCTTAACACCTTTTCCCAAACTAGGGTAATAGTAACTCCAATTAATAGGTAACATTAGACTATCGTATAGTTGAATTATCACAGTTTAAATTCACATAATATTTTAGATGATTTTTAAGAGTCATTGTATGTTATGAATGATAGTTGTTCACATATTACATACACCAACATTCTCTTTCTGGCACATATTTCTTTGAAGGTTTTCCTAATTTTAAATTACTTTTCCAGGTGATCCGTGGGAATTCCATTGTCATGGTTGAATCCATGGATAGACTGTAGGTTAAATGTTTAGGATGTGTTGAAATCGTGTTACAAAATGTGCTCTCGATGTTTGTTTCAATTTTTGGTAAATAAATAGTTTGTGATAATTGCTTTGACTTTCTCTTGCCATGGATTTCTTCTTGAATAGCTATTAAACCTATCCAGAAAGTAACGCGCGCCGATCTCGTACATTTGGTGCGTGCGCACTCGGCAACTCTCATGAGCGTCAGATCGGCCATTTTTAATCTGAATGCACCATTTTCTCAGAACTTTCATTCATTACACTGTTTCCTTAAACTTCACACACTTGGCGATAAATGTCATATCGGTTTTAAGTTTTTTGCCAACAAAAACCGTATCACTGATCGCCCCTCTTAAATGGCGGGATTTTCAATTGCAGCGCTCATCTTAAGTCGAAATTGTGAAAAAAAGGGCAGCGCCAGAATGCTCCCGTTGCCACGGCTGGACGCCGACTGAGTTTCCGAGTGCGCACGCACCAAAATGTACGAGATCGGTGCGCGCCTAGCGGCGTCAGAACAAAACGTTCTTTACTTTCTGGATAGCCCTCGTATCATACAATTGTGGTTTACCCCACTCAGTTTTTTTTAGGATGCCAGGACACATATCAACGCATATTTTTGTAGTTAAATTTTTTCCCCTGTAGTTTAATTCTACTACATGCTGTAAACAAGATGACATTATGTTTTAGCCCGATTGAGATCCGGCCCACTTGCAGATTTTATCCAGCCTGCAGATAGCTAGGCCATTGAAAGTTTATAAAAATCCTATCAATAGCAAACACTGATGATCATCTCCCACGATCTTGGCAACACTTTACTGGTGATCGTGATTTACTTACAATATACAAAATATATTTTAATGATTTGTGTATTGCTACTGATACTAAAGTTTGGAGCCAGGAATGAACCAAAGGAACGTCAACAATAAATGAAAGCTCCCACATATGATATTACTAGAACTCTCGGTCCATATTATATACAAGGGTAATTCAGTTTCCGTTAAACGTTTTACACTTCTTATAAACTCCTATAATGTGACGTTTTGTAGTAGATAGAAAAGATTTATGTCATCCTGTGTTTTCTATTATATGATTACTATAATCATTATGATTGTATACTGTTTTATTAAATAAATTCATTATTCATTTATGTGGTCCAATCTGGACTAAATACCCATGCAAAAAAGGTTGTCATGGATGCCAAAACCTTAAAATTTTTCATGCTGATTTCAATTTGCCTTCAATTTGTTATACAACTGTATATAAAATGTTGTCATTAATCTACATGTTAGCCCTAGTAGGCTATACGTTTTCAGCTGCTATTAACAAAACGTTGAATGATATGGATTATGATGTGTTGGCAACATTGAAAGTATTTGTAGAGCCAACCACGTCTCAAGCTCCCGTCACATGTGGACAGGCGACAGTTCCTATGGCTAGCAACAAAACCCTGTACAAAGAATGGTCGCTCTACGATGATTACGACTGCAGCATTTATTACTCTGGTGGTTTAAACAATCAATCCAATTTGTTACTTGTATTTGTATCAACCATACCACTACTATTAATGCATAGAATGCTTAAAAAACTGTAGTTTTTAGATAAATTCTCTTTTCATTAATCTACAGTTTTGGTTTCAGGGTGTCTAGTAGTCGGGAAAATCGGGAAAGTCGGGAATTAGTATTGAATTTCAAAATGGTCTTGAAAAGTCGGGATTTAGTCTTAAATTTGATTTCAAAGTCGGGAATTTTCATGATTTTGCCGCGATCGTCGTCTTGCGTTTACGTAACCGCAAAAGCCAATGATGATGTCTACACGGCCTCGGGAAATGTTCACGATTTTTCCGCGATAGTGGACGACGACGATGACGTTTTCCGAAACCACGAGAGACGACGATGACGTTTCTGTGACAGCGGGAGACGACGATGACGTTTCTGTGATAGCGGGAGACGACGATGACGTTTCTGTGACAGCGGGAGACTACGATGACGTTTCTGTGACAGCGGGAGACTACGATGACGTTTCCGTGACCGCGGGAGACGACGATGACGTTTCCGTGCCCGCGAGAGACGACAATGATGCCTACACGGCCGCGGGAAAGGTTCATGATTTTGCCGTGATCGCGGACGACGACGATAACGTTTCCGTGACCGTGGGAGATGACGGTGATGTCCAAACAGCCGCGGGAAATGTTCATGATTTTGCCGCGATCGCGGACGACGACGATGGCGTTTCCGTGACTGCGGGAGACGACGATGACGTTTCCGTGACCGCGGGAGACGACGATGATATCTGCTCGGCCGTGGGAAATGTTCATGATTTTGTCACGATCGCGGACGACGACGATGACATTCCGTGACCGCGGGAGATGACGATGACGTTTCCGTGACCGCGGGAGACGACGATGATGTCTACACGGCCGCCGGAAATGTTCATGATTTTGCCGTGATCGCGGACGATTACGATAACGTTTCCGCGACCGCGGGAGATGACGGTGATGTCTAAACAGCCGCGGGAAATGTTCATGATTTTGCCGCGATCGCGGACGACGACGATGACGTTTCCGTGACCGCAGGAGACGACGATGATATCTGCTTTGGCCACGGGAAATGTTTATGATTTTGTCACGATCGCGGACGACGACGATGACGTTTCCGTGACCGTGGGAGATGACGATGACGTTTCTGTGACCGCGGGAGATGACGATGATGTCTACACGGCCGCGGGAAATGTCCATGATTTTGCCGTGATCGCGGACGATGACGATAACATTTCCGTGACCGCGGGAGATGACGGTGATGTCTGAACAGCCGCGGGAAATGTTCATGCTTTTGCCGCGATCGCGGACGACGACGATGACGTTTCCGTGACCGCGGGAGACGACGATGATATCTGTTCGGCCGCGGGAAATGTTATTGATTTTGCCGCGATCGAGGGAGATGACGATGACGTTTCCGTGACCGCGGGAGACGACGATGACGTTTCCGTGACCGCGGGAGACGACGATGACGTTTCCGTGACCGCGGGAGACGACGATGACGTTTCCGTGACCGCGGGAGACGACGATGATATCTGCTCGGCCGCGGGAAATGTTCATGATTTTGTTGCGATCGCGGACGACGACGATGACGTTTCCGTGACCGCGGGAGATGACGATGACGTTTCCGTAACCGCGTGAGATGACGATGACGTTTCCGTGACCGCGGGAGACGACGATGATGTCTACACGACCGTGGGAAAGGTTTATGATTTTTCCGCGATCGCGGACGATGACGATGACGTTTCTGAGACCTCGGGAGACGACGATGATGTCATTGATGTCTACAAGGCCGTGGGAAATGTTTATGATTTTGCCGTGATCGCGGACGACGTCGATCACGTTTCTGTAACCGCTGCAGTCAATGATGATGTCTCAACGTACAGTACGTGGAAGATTTCATGATAAAAAAAACCAAATTTGCTAGTTAGAACTTTTGATTGCTGCATTATTTCTTTACTTGAAAACACCACATTGTCATAATACTACTTTATGACAAAGACAGGGGTTGGTGTAGTATTATTCAGAAAATTTTGTTAAGCTTTAAAAATTGGTATCGGTATCAAGAATCGAGAATCGATACATTTCAGTATCAACACCCACTAATTGTTGAAAAAACTAGTCTTGAATAATCTGGAATTAGTCTTGAAAAGTCTGGAATTAGTCTTGAATTTTAGAATGGAAATAAACTAGACACCCTGTGGTTTGTTGTTAGCACTGTACTGAATGAGGGCATAGGCCCCAATATTTTTTTGGTTGTGGTAGTTAGAATAGCACAATTGCAATTTCAAAATTATGTGATCTACTTTTTAACTTCAACAATGAATGCAAACCCATAAGAAGCACAATGCCTTTGTAAAAAGTTCAGTCTGGAAATATTTCAATTTTCTATGGTTCCCGCAGCGGCCGCTTGGTAGAGTATTGCAAGCGCGCAGCCAAGGCAGCAGAGACAAAGAATCTGCTGAGAAATAGAGAGAGAGAGAGTAGCGCGGCCGTGCGAAGCTCATTTCGGCGGCAAAATTCCAGTCTGACTATTCTCCATAAGCATTTTGCTTCCTTAAGGGTTTTTATTTGTTGACTTCAACCAAAGGCCTGTAAATAAACATCTAATCCCCCCCCCCCATGAAATGCTGTGATGATAGTTATGTAGAAGTCCCTGAGGGGAAATTTATTAGTATACTCTGACAGTATTCTTTGGTCAATGTCATCTGTCCCAAAAATCTTCTTTTGCAGTCTTAACTTCTGTTAAAATAATAATATTAAAGTTGACTGAAATAATGAGAAAAAGTTTTTAAACATTTGTTTGGAGCCCCTTATGGCCTAAACTATAGAAAATACCCAGTATTTTTCACGCTGAATTTGAAAAAGGCTAAAAATCTTCATCTTCCTTTCCTTGAAGTATTAGTCACTGCAAGAACTTGGGTTCGTTTGAAACTACAAAAGGAACCTTTCATTTAACCACATTTTTTCCTAAATGCAATACCATCTTCTGGAAACTCAGGACTTTTTCCGACTGAAAACGATTACATTTTTGGTTTTAGCGTGAAGAATTCAGTAAAGAGACACATTATAATGCAATTTTTATTAGGGTGGGTTATATTACCATTAACTATATTTACACTAAAATGTTAGGTGTATTTTAATACAAAAATGTATCTCTTGACACTTTATATAAGTCATCGTCTAATGAACAAAAAAAATACTAAAGTATGTACAATGCTGAAGATGTTGATAGATTAGCCTCTAAAGCAAGTGTAGGCTCTGGTATTTGTCGGTTTGCAACATTTATGGACAGGCGACATGGTACCGAAGATGCATGCTGATCCAAACTTTAACCAACTTAGCTGCCACTCATAACCTATCGAATGAATTTGCCAAATTTAGCTTAGTTTAAAAAATGTATGGTTGTATCTATACCATATAACATTGTGCATAAGCTTGGCTTCCTTAGATAAAGCCATGAATAAACCTAGGCCTGTATGGTAAAAAATAAGGTTTCCGAGGGAACCGCAGTTAAAAACTGTGGTAAATTCAAACCTAATGATTAAAACAT